AAGCCGTCGGGCGCCGCCGCAGAGCGCGCGGCGTAAACAGCGTCGAAGCGCGGCATCAGCGTGTTGAAGGCGAGCAGCATGTTGCCCTGAATGCGCGCCTGCGCGTCGCCGCCCGTGCGCATGCCGCGCACCTGCACCGAGAGCGGCGAAGGCTCGTAGCCGGTGGTCCGAGCGGCTGCGGTGGCGGCCTCGTCTCCAAGTGCCGGTGCAGCCTCCTCCGCCCCCGCACCGCTAGACAGCAGCGCCCGCAGCGTCGTGAGCGCCCCGGGCAGCGTGCAGCGGTTGCGCAAGCTGTTGTGGCAGAGGCTCTTCTGCCCGTCCCCCGCCTGCGCGAGGTCCTTGACAGCGCGCGCAGCAGCGGCGGTCCACCCCGCCGCCGCGTCTGCAATCTTCGACGCGTCGATGTTGGTCCAGAGTCCGTCAAACTCCTCCTCGCACCGGTCGGTGAGCTGCACCTCGGACCGGTTGGTGAGGCAGACGAGGAGGGTGATGCCGATGGCGTAGCCGTCCGTCTTGCTCGAGTACTCGCCCCCCTTGGAGATGGAGGGGCAGAGGTAGCCAGTGGACATGTAGAGGGCGGTCGAGCGGCAGCGGACAGAAGCGTCCGGCCGCTGGTCCTTGGCGAAGCCAGTGTCAGCCAATACTGCGGTCAGCTTCTCGTCGAGCAGGATGTTGTCCGGCTTGACGTCGCGGTGCACGATGCCCTTCGAGTGGAGGTAGACGAGCGCCTCGGTCGCCTCGCATGCGATACGCACGCGCTGCCGCCACGTCAGCGGCCTCGGCGGCTCTTCCATGCCCAGCCGCCGGAGCTGCGCCGCGCGGTCGGGATCCGAGAGGCGCAGCCGCGCCTCGAGCGAGCCGCCGCGCATCAGCGGCGAGAGGAGGCAGACGCCGTCGGGCGAGAGGCAATAGCCGAGCAGCGGCAGCAGGTGCGGGTGGCTCACCGCCTTGAGCAGCTTCACCTCGAGCTCTGCCCGCGACAAGCCGCCCGACTGGCCCGACTTTGCCCGCTTGACGACGAGCGGCAGGTGGCGCAGCTGCGGAGGCGCGGCGAGGGAGAGGTGGAGGTCGGCCGACGCCTCGTAGACGTGGCTGAAGCCGCCGCTGCCAATCAGCTTCCCGTCGGCGAACCCGTCGGTAGCCGCGGTGAGATCCGACAGGGCTATCTCGACTGGCCGAGCAACAGCCGCCTCCTCCGCCGCGGCCGGCTCGGCGGCCCCCGGGGCGACAGACAGCTCTCCCAGCTTCGACTCCGCCGCGCTCACCTCCTCGGCCAAAGCAGGCAGCGCGCCCACGTGCGGCCTGGCGGCGGCGATGCCCGCTCGGAGCGCGGAGGGGCTGTCCGCTGTTTCGAGCGACTTGAGCGCGCCCATCGCCGCGCCATGCGCCTTGCGCAGACGCTGGCTGTCCCGCCTCCGCGCCTCCTTGAGCTTGTCGCGCGCGCGCCTCGCCGCCGCCAGCACGGCCGGGCTCGCGAGGCCGCTGCACGCCTCCAGCGCGCTGGCCACGCCCTCGTACGAGCCAGCGGCCACGGCCTGCTGCAGCGCCTCGTCCGCCGCGGCAATGGCGGCTGTGTCGGCCGGCGGAGGAGGAGAGGCTGGCGGTGGTGGCGGCTGCAAAGCGGCGGTGGCGCTGGGGCCAGGCGCCGCGTTGTCTGCCTCGCCGCCGCCGCTCTTCTTCTTCTTCTTCTTCTTGCCCTTCTTGCTCTCCTTGGCGCGCTCCTCCTTCTCCGCCTCCTCCTCCATCAGCAGCGCCTCGGCATGCCGCGCCGCCTCCGCCTCTGCCGCCGCTCTCTCCGCCTCCCTCGCCTCCGCCCCTGCAACCCACGCCGCCTCCGTCGCCGCCTTCTCAGCCGCCGCCTCGGCCTCAGCCAAGACCTTTACGCACTCGGCGTGGCCCTTCTCCTTGGCCATCTCCAGCGCCGTCTTGCCGTCCGGAGCGCGCACTGCAACGTCTGCGCCCGCCCGCAGCAAACGCCGCACGATGGCGGGGTGGCCGAAGAAGGCGGCGGTCATCAGCGCGGTGACACTGTCGCTGTTCTGCAGGTTGAGCTCCACGCCGTGCTGTATCAGCAACTCGACCACCCGCTCGTGGCCTCGGCCGGCGGCGGCCATCAGCGCGGTGTAGCCTTTGATCTGCAGGTTGATCTCAGCCCCGTGCCGAATCAGCAGCTCGACCACCCACTCGTGGCCGTTGCCGGCAGCGCGCATCAGCGCGTTGCCGCCGCCGCTGTTCTGCAGGCTGATGTCCGCGCCGTGCCGAATCAGCAACTCGACCACCCGCTCGTGGCCTTGGTAAGCGGCGCCCATCAGCGCGGTGTCGCCGCCGCTGCTCTGCAGGTCGACCTCCGCGCCGCGCCGCAGCAGTAGCTCGACCACCCGCTCGTGGCCGTTGGTAGCGGCGCCCATCAGCAGCGTGATGCCGCTCACGCCGTGTCTCTTGTACGTCGCGTCGGCCCGCCCGCCACTGTCGAGCCACGCCAGCACCGCCTCCTCCTCGCCTCGCTGAGCCGCTGCGATGACCTCATCGGAGACTTCCACGACCGCATCGGGGGCTGCCGCGGCACCGCTCGGCTCCGCCGCCGCCGGCGACAGATTACCCGGCTGCACATGCACGCTCTCGCCGCCGCCCTCGAGCGCCACAGCGTACCGCCCGCCCTCGAAGCTCTCCGCCGCGCCCCGCTGCCCGTTCAGCTCGGGACGGGAAGAGAGCCCGCCGAGCACGACGCGCTGCCCGAGCAGCGGCGCGTCCACAGCTGCCGCTGCCGCGCCCGAGGAAGCGCCGCCCGGCCCTGCCCGGCCGTCTGCCACCGCCGCCGCCTCAGCCAAGACCTTTACGCACTCGGCGTGGCCCCTCTCCTTGGCCCACTGCAGCGCCGTCTTGCCGTTCTCAGCGCGCGCCGCCGTGTCAGCGCCCGCCCGCAGCAAGCGCCGCACGACGGCGGGTCGGTCGAAGAGGACGGCGTACATCAGCGCGGTGCCGCCTTTGCTCTCCTGGAGGTTGACCTCCGCCCCGCGCCGTATCAGCAAGTCGACCATCCGCTCGTGGCCTTGGCCGGCGGCGGCCATCAGCGCGGTGCCACCGCCGCTGTTCTGCTGGTTGATCTCCGCGCCGTGCCGTATCAGCGAGTCGACCACCCGCTCGTGGCCGTGGCCGGCGGCTAGCGTCAGCGCGGTGCCGCCTTTGTTGTTGTGCAGGTTGATCTCCGCGCCGTGCCGCATCAGCAGCTCGACCACCCGCTCGTGGCCGTAGTGGGCGGCGACCATCAGCACGGTCCAGCCGGTGCAGTTCTGCCGGTGGATCTCCGCGCCGTGCCGTATCAGCAGCTCGACCACCCGCTCGTGGCCGTTTCCAGCGGCGGCCATCAGCGCGGTGACGCCGTTGCTGTTCTGCAGGTTGACCGCTGCGCCGTGCCGCAGCAGCAACTCGACCACCCGCTCGTGGCCGTACACGGCGGCGCCCATCAGCAACGTGAAGCCGCTCGCCTTGCCTCTCTCGTACGTCGCGTCGGCCCGCCCGCCACTGTCGAGCCACGCCAGCACCGCCTCCTCCTCGCCTCGCTCCGCTGCTGCCACGACCGCTTCGGGGGCTGCCGCGGCACTGCTCGACACCACCGGCGACAGATTACCCGGCCGCACCCGCACGCTCTCGCCGCCGCCCTCGAGCGCCACAGCGTACCGCCCGCCCTCGAAGCTCCGCGCCACGCCCCGCTGCCCGTTCAGCTCGGGGCGGGAAGAGAGCCCGCCGAGCACGACGCGCTGGCCGAGCAGCGGCGCGTCCACCGCTGCCGCTGCCGCGCCCGAGGAAGCGCCGCCCGCCCCTGCCTGGCCGTCGCTCATGCCCCTCGCACAACAAAAGAATTTTTCAGCCCACGCGCACAATCCCTCCCTTGGCTTGTCCGTTTTCTTTCTTTTTTTACACTGGGCACGGGACTGGCGCGCACTGGCACTAACACCGCAACAAAAGAATTCGCAAAGATTGCATTGTTTTCTTTCTTTCTGGCACAACAAGGGCGCTGGCGCACACTAGCACACGAATCCACCACGAAAAGAAAGCGCGGCCGTCCGAGATCGCACGAGATCGAACGAGGTCGCCCGAGATCGCATTGCGACGCGCGAGGTGGGTGTGCGGGATGTCTGTGCGCTCTCTGTGGTCCCGAGTAAGAATATCGGCCCCGACAGCGATGTGTTTGTTCATAAGCTCAAAAAGAAAATGGTCGTACAGGGTGAAAAATATCCAAACGGACGCCACCGCCTTGCCCCTACGACCAACTCCCTCGGGGCGCGGCTCTCGATTCATTCCACAGGTCCAAGTGTGCACGTGGGTGAGGCAGCAGCGCCACGCAGCTCTGGAAGTGAAAGAGCCACAGGAAGGCGTCCGCTCAGCCCAAGCCGCTCCTCGGACAGGCGTGCTCGCTCGATGTCGGCGAGCGCATTGCGCACGCTTTGGACGGTGGCAAAGCCAAAAACACCGATGGTGGCCGTCCGCTGACGAGTGACGTGAGTGGTGGCATCGGTCCCTAACCTGTCGCTCGCGGTCCCTAACCCAAAAGTGGTCCTTCGCGCTTTGGTCCCTACAGTGGTCCCACAGTCTGTTGCGGGCATTAAGAAAACGTGGCAAAAAGAAACCCTACCAAGCGATTTCCGCGAAAATCTTAAGAAACCACGGCGCGCCGCAGGCGCGGCCCCAAGAAAGGGCCCACACACGAGTGTGAACAGGAGCCCCGCTCAAATCTGCGGTGTTCTGGGCGGTGTGGAGGTGCGTGCGTCTTCCTGTCATCCCAAGTGGGTGGCAGACTGCGGACTGGAGACATCGCTCACTCATCGGTCCAGCGCTTCCTTATTGTCATTTTACCTAAAATTTCCTAGATCCCGGCTGACCTAGGGTGCCGGCCCGCGAACCAAAGAAACCACGGCGCGGGGTGGTGGGGTGGGTGGAAAGGCTTAGAAACGGCTCGACGGGGTGGGGACGAAACCCAAAGAAAAAACGAACTTCCCGCGATGTACATGGTCCCTCGTGCGAGCAGCAGCAGCGCAGCAGCAGCAGCAGCAGCGCCAGCCGCGGCTTACAACCAGGCGGTCGGCGTCGCGGTGGACGCGCTGCTCGAGCGGGCGCCCAACCCGCGCCGCTGCGAAAGAGGCGAGGTCTTCAAGGGCCCGGTGACCGTGCTCGTAGATGTGAAGGATGAGAGCGGGGCAGTGATCGGTCAAGTCGAGCGCCCCATCACGCTGTCGGACGCGAAGAACGCGAAGGGCGGCTTCCACGCAAGGGTCCAAGCCATCAACGCGTGGCTCGCCGCGGCGCAGCCCGATGTACCGCTCATCCCCGAGTACTGCGCCTGCTGGGCCGCGCCCGACGCCTACCTGCGGACCGACAAGGACGGCAAGCGGGAAGACGAGTGCATGGCGGACTTCCCCTCGGAGAAGCGGTGGAGCGGCGAGTGGTGGCGCTTCTGGCGGGAGCACATCGAGCCGGCGATCGCCGGCAAGGTTCCGGGACCCCCGCGCAAGTCGGTGTACCAGAATCTGTCCGATCTGCGGGAGGGTCCGGCGAGCGGCCACAGGGCCAAGCGGCAGAAGCTGGGCCCGGCCGCGTCGCCAGGTGTTTCAGCCCTGCTCGCCTGTAGATGAGCTGTCGCCCGCTAACGTCTGACCTGGCGCGCAGGCGCGGCCGGCAGCCATTCGGCAAGCGCGGCCGAGCCGCTCGTGGGCGCCGTGGTCCCGGTGCACGGGCCCGGTGAGGCGGAGGGTTTGCGCTTGAACCCGCCGGCGCCGGCGCAAGCGGCGGTGGCGGCGGCGCGGGCTGAGCGGGCCGAGCCGCCACCCGCCGCCGCGTCCCCGCGGCGCCGCACCAAGGCCGGCAGCGGCGGAGGCGGCGGAGGCGGCGGCGTGAGCGGGAGCTGCAGCGGCGGGAGCGGGAATAGCGCGAGCGTCGGGAGCGGCGAGGGCAGCGGAGGCGGCGAGTACGAGGCTCCGGCTCCTCCTCCCCGAGCGGTGGGGGGGGCGGCGAGGGCAGCGGAGGCGGCGGCGGAGGCGGCGGCGGCGGCGGCAGGACAGCAGGCTGCGCAGGAGCCGCTAGTCGCCGAGGCGGAGGGCTTACGGCTGCACCTCTCGAGCAGCAGTGCCACCGGGTACAGGGGCGTGTTCAAAAATGGCTCGCGATTCCAGGCGAAACAACAGGTGGACGGAAGGCAGGTCGACCTCGGCACCTTCGGCACGGCGGTGGAGGCGGCGGTGGCGTATGCGCGGGCGGTCGAGGGATACACGCCAGCAGTGGCAGCCGAGCCAGCGGCTGTGGCTGCAGAAGCGGAGGTGGTTGCAGAAGCGGAGGGCTTGAGATTGCACCTCTCCAGCAGCAGTGCCACCGGGTACAAGGGCGTGCACGAGCAATCTGGCCGCTTCCGGGCGAAGCACAAGGTGGACGGAAGGCATCAATCCCTTGGCTACTTCGGCACGGCGGTGGAGGCGGCGGTGGCGTATGCGCGGGCGGTCGAGGGATACACGCCAGCGGTGGCAGCCGAGCCAGCGGCTGTGGCTGCAGAAGCGGAGGTGGTTGCAGAAGCAGAGGACTTGAGATTGCACCTCTCCAGCAGCGGTGCCACCGGGTACAAGGGCGTGTTCAAAAGTGGCTCGCGCTTCCAGGCGCGGCACACGGTGGACGGGGAGAAGGCCTACCTCGGCACCTTCGGCACGGCGGTGGAGGCGGCGGTGGCGTATGCGCGGGCGGTCGGGGAATACCAGCCTCCGGCTCCTCCTCCGATTGTGGCTGCAGAAGGGGAGGTGGTTGCAGAGGCAGAGGGCTTGAGATTGCACCTCTCCAGCAGCGGTGCCACTGGGTACAAGGGCGTGAGCAAAAGTGGCTCGCGCTTCCAGGCGCGGCACACGGTGGACGGAAGGCATCAATCCCTTGGCTACTTCGGCACGGCAGTGGAGGCGGCGGTGGCGTATGCGCGGGCGGTCGGGGAATACACGCCAGCGGTGGCAGCCGAGCCAGCAGCGGTGGCTGCAGAAGCGGAGGTGGTTGCAGAAGCGGAGGGCTTGAGATTGCACCTCTCCAGCAACAGTGCCACCGGGTACAAGGGCGTGAGCAAAAATGGCTCGCGCTTCCAGCCGCTTCCTTGGGTGGACGGGGAGAAGGCCTACCTCGGCACCTTCGGCACGGCGGTGGAGGCGGCGGTGGCGTACGCGCGGGCGGTCGGCGAGGCGCCGGGCCAGGCCGAGGTGGCGGCAGCAGTGGCGGCGAGGGCAGCGGAGGCGCAGGCTGTGGAGGCGGCTTGCGGCGCAGCGCGAGCCGGGTGCCCTGTCCAGGACACGTCCACGACACGTCCTGGCCATGCCCCGTAGGCAGCCAAGGCGGTGCGCGTCGCCAAGGCCGAGCAGCTGCGGCAGCTGCAGCAGCTGCGGGAGCGGCAGCTGCAGCAGCTGCGGGAGCAAAAGCGACGGCTGCAGGAGCAGAAGCCGCTGCTGGAGGAGCAGCGGAGGCGGGCCGCAATCGAGGAAGGGAGGCCCAGAAGCGGAGTACATTTTCTCGTATTCCAACCAGCGCTCGAGAGGACACGTACTCAGCCGTATTCGGCCGTCTTCCGCTGCATTCGCTGTTCTCGTAGCCCCTCGTATTCACGCGGTGCTACGAATGCACTGCACGAGACCGTCTACCCGCCTCGAGGCTGCGTGTTCGCCACGTAGGACCAGAGGCGACTCTTCGAGGAGGTGGAGACACACGCACACGCACACGCACACACACACACACACACGCACGCGCACGCGCGCGCACACGCACACGCACACGCACACGCGCACACACGCATCGCTCACCCACGCGCACTGGGCCTTGCACTTCTAATGCCACGAGGCTCCCGTCTTCTAGACGTGGAGTCGCGAGGGCCGCCCCCCCTTGCCCCACCACCCTTGTGTGTGGAGAAGTTTACCTTACCTCACCTTACCTAGGCGGCCAGCCGCCAGCGCCAGCGCCAGGCGGGCGGGGGCGGTGGGAGCGGCGGAGGGGGAGGGAGCGGCGGCGGGAGCGGCGGTGGGAGCGGTTGCGGCGGCGGCGGCGGCTGCGGTGGGTCCAGCAGCGGCGACGCAGGGTCGAGCGGCGGCATCGTCGACGTCGATTGCGCGGTGGACGCTCTCGTGGCGGCGGTGCTCGCTGGAGCCCCCCGCGCTGTGCAGGACCCTTGGGGCTGCCTTGGGCTGCAGCGGTTGACGGGCCGCGAGGCGAGCCGGAAGCGGTACCTGCAGCTGGTGCGGCGGCTCCACCCAGATCGGTGCGGCCACCCGCGCGCCGGAGAGTGCTTCGCGCTCGTCGAGGAGGCGTGGCGAGCCATCGAGGCGCGCGGGGAGGTCGGAAGGAGCGCCGGATAGCTTCGGCGACGTTCACACTTGAGGCAAACCCCACTTTGGGACCTATTTGAGGCGGTGTGGCGGCACTCACAGGGCACGGGAAGCTCTCCCGCCGCGTCTGCGTGGCCCGCCCGAGCCGCGGGGAACGGCGCGCGCCCCTCCCGGCGGAGCTGGGTGCGGCAGACGGGCCCACGGGTCGGTTCCGGGCCGATTTGGGGCTGTTCTGTGTAGTTCTGGGTCAAAATCGAGCTACACAGTTAAAAATCTCGCCCCGACGGATGATACTTTCTTGGAGCACTTGGAGTGCAGTCAGTAACCGCACATCCAGCAGGGCCGGGGAGCTAAGAAGCGCACCCAGCGGGCCGGATGATTGGCATCGGGTTACGGGCTAGAGAGCCCTAGCCCCGGGGGTGCGCGTTCGCAGGGAAAGCCTTCAATTGATTTTTCTAGCCACGATCCTGCGCCATCCTCGCCCGGGCCCGTGAGGCCATGGGAACGCCCTCGGATTGTACAGCATCCTCCACTAGCCACAACCGCGGGCCCTCAACGTCAACCGCATATCGGTGTCGCGGGCAAAAATAGCCTTCAGACGCTGTCTCTCGTCGCTATAAATCGGCGCGACGCGTACAACGGCAACGCATGCCCACGCTGCGGGTGGTTTGCTGCCCGCTTGGGATGGTAACGTGCCTGACGACGCAATGTATCGACTCGACCAGCTTCGACCCTAGGCCAGCAGGCGGTGGGAGCTGTTCCGCTCGAGCCGCGAGACGATGAAGCAATGGCGCAGCGGTAATGAATAGTTGATTTTGAACACGATTGTTAGACGGCGTGAAAAATCAAGTATTCATGAGATACGCGAGGAGCAGCGCAGGTTGCTACAAATCCCAACGAGGATCACGAGCTCGCCCGACGCGTTCAAAACAATGGTATTGCTAAAAATCTCTCTCTCGCGCGTTCAAGCGGGGCTTAATTGAAAGGCTTGCGTTGCCTAACATGTGTTGGGACTGCTCCTTTGTAGAGCCGTACCCATCTCCTAGTGTCATAATGGTCTCTCTCTCTCTCTCTCTCTCTCTCTCTCTCTCTCTCTCTCTCTCTCTCTCTCTCTCTCTCTCTCTCTCTCTCTCTCTCTCTCTCTCTCTCTCTCTCTCTCTCTCTCTCTCTCTCTCTCTCTCTCTCTCTCTCTCTCTCTCTCTCTCTCTCTCTCTCTCTCTCTCTCTCTCTGGAATTCTCGCTCCTGAGAGCGCGAGTGAGTTTGTGTTGTCAACGTGGTACACATGAGACACATACCGCTAGCGCAGTCTCGCCCACGGGCCCTGCCCGGCAGTCCCGCTTGACTTTGTCCGCCTCCGCCCGCCCCCCGCGCTCCATCTCGAGAGCACATCCAGCACCACGCTCCTTCGCACGGCAGGGCTCTCAGTCTTGCCGCTAAGCCCGGCGCTCACTCTCACGCCCCCGTGGCTCCCGCGCTGGCCGCTCCGCTGCGGGGGGCCCACTGCGCTGCCGCCGCGGCTGGCGCTGGTGGCCCAGTGCGAGGCTGGCATCCTCGCCCCTCGGCGCTGGCTGAGCCGCCACCCCACGCACATGACGGCGGGCAGCCCAACGCACAGCGCAAGCAGCCCCGCCTCAAAGACGCCGGGCCGGTTGCCTTCTTGGAGCAAGGCGACGAGGGCGGCCCAGCACACGCCAGCGTAGCATGCCGTGCGCGCGTGGTTGAACTCGTAGTTCCGCGCCTTGCCGAGGCAGGGCTGGAGGTAGTAGCATGCGGCCAGCAGCGAAACGATGACCGCTATCGTGAGGACGAGGAAGGCCCGTGGGCGCGGCTGGGCCAGCAGCGCGTACAACGCCGAGACGGCGATGCGCGCAAAACAGTCGACCACCTCGAACCTCGGCAGATAGTAGAGCTCCGGCGACTGGTCCCCCTTGGCAGCCGCGTGGCGGAGCCCGAGGGGTATCAACGTGACGAGCAGGCACAGCGAGATCGGCAGGTAGAGGAAAGCGTGTTTGCCACTGAAGCACACGATCTCTTCGTCGTCCTGTAGCCTTTGGCTGTCGCACGCTAGCATTTGAAAGCACGCCTCGAGGACCGGGATAAGACCCCACTCCAGCAGGATCGTGCCAGAGTGCTCAGAGGTGTGCCTTCGGAGGAGGCGCGGCAGCCGAATCTTCAAGGCACGGAGTGCGGCGAGGCAGCCCGCGGCGATGTAGACTGCGACCAGAGCGCACCACCAACCTAGAAACCACTCGTGCGACTGCAGCGACGTCTGCAGAGATCGGAACAGGCCAACCACCACTGGCTCGACGTCACTCCCAAATACGGCTAGCATCCTGACGCACCGGGCGATACTGTCCTCCGAGATGGTCATCGCGACTAGCTGGCAGAACTCGACGGCGATTCCAATCCGCTCTCGCTTGCGCCGCCGTAAAAAGACTGCCTGAGCCTCCCAAGCGAAGGTCTCGGAGAGCGCTCGGCGGGTATCTTGCCACAGACGCCACCGCTTCGCCACGATCCAGAAGTGGCGGAGCCAGACGAGAGAGTACAGAAGGAGGCCAAGGTGCAGGGTGTGCGTGAGGCTTGACATTGCGTGAGCTCGCTCGCCGGGGGCGCGCGCTCGCCTTGCAGCTGCGAGTCGCCGGGGGCGCGCTCGCCTATCCAGCTGAAGCGCCCGCAAAAAAGAATTTTTCGGCAAAGCAAGAATTAAAAGCACCGCACACACCAGGGGAGAACGAAAGAAATTTCTTTGCGAAAATAAAAATCAGTACGTGCGAGGAAAAGATCCAGGTTGTCCGAGGAGGCCACCGGCCAAAAGCGCATGTCTTGAAGGTCCGATACTGGAAGCCCATATAGGCACCTTACACTCCCCCGCAGTATCGCACCTCTTGAGCGACACTACGTTTCCGCAGCTGGGGATTCTCCGGGTACCCCTCTTTGTACCCGTGCTGGCCGGATTCCTCCTCCGAACAACTCAAGTTCGATCGGCCCCAGTCTCGAACTGGCAGCCACTATCTCACCGGAGGTACCATGTCGCATGTGGATACATATATGTCGCTGACGCCGCCCTCACCGGTCGCCCACCGCCACCGCTATCACCGCCGCCGCCCTCGCTGCCACTTCACATCGCCGTCGTCCTCACCATCGCCCATAGCCACCGTCATTAGCACCAACACCTCCCACCAGCGTGCGCCGCAGGCCTGCAGCGTGCGCCGCAGGCCTGCAGCCGTCGCGATGAACCCAGAGCTGCTGATGCAGATCTTGTCCTTCCTATGGGCCTCAGGGGCTTTCTGCTCGGTTTCGGCTCACCATCTGCAAAGAGTGCCTCATGCGGGACCTGCGCTGCCACGTCGCGGCGGTGCCGCTGGCGAGGGCGGACGCCTCCGAGGAGGCGCACGGGTTGATTCCGTCGGGCTGCGACTTATTCTCGCGGCGGACGTGCTGTACTCGCCCGACGCGGCGGAGCAGGAGGCGCTGCGCGGCGCGATGCTCGCGCTGGCGGCGCCGCGGTGCGCGCTGGTGCTGCACGCGTACGAGGAGCGGTGGGACTACGTGCACGAGCCGTGGCGGCGCTCGCTGGCCGGCAGCGGGCTGCGGCTGCAGAGCGAGGAGGAGCTGCTCCTGCCGACGACCGGCGCCGACGGAGCGCCGACGCTGTTCAGCGCGCCGTCCGAGCTCGGATCGGTTGAGCGCCGGGTGGGTGAGGGGGGGAGAGGGGGCATGTGGTTGTGCAGGAGATCTCGAGCAAGAACGTGTTTCTTTTGTAAGGCACATAAAACAAACAGAGCGGCCGCCCGCCGCGCGACGGCCACTCCCCCACCACCGTGCCACCCCGGGTATGCCAGCGCCCTGTCCCTTGCCCTCTCTCCCCTAGCTCTATGTATGTATATAGAAAGATGAACAACAGTCAGGCTCGGACTGGACACCAACGCGGTATGGGTGGACGCGAGACAGATGATGACGACACGCACGAGCGACACACAGACACAAACAAGCTCACAAGACACACAGCCAGCTGGCTGCCACACACCCTGAGTTGGCGTACACATATCTCAAGGCCTCTAGCTCTTAGGCCCGCGATTTCTTCCTGCACGCGACTGCTCTCCGTGATTCGTCTCAGAGCTGCTTGGCAGCAAGTGCTGTGCCTACAGTGGCTTCAGGAGCCAAAAAATCATTGCGTTCGGCGCAAATGAGTACGCGAAAGGGCGGCGACTATCGCCGTAAAGGCTCATCTCGTAAGGAGCTGGCCCGAAACCAGTATGCGGCAAGCCTGCGCCACATTCAGCTCTCGCAATCAGTGGCTGTCGCCGACGCCACCGCCGCCATGAGCGAGGCTTCGGCAGTGTCGGCCTCAGCATCCAAGAGCGCGCCGCCCGCCGAGCCTGCCGGCGAGACGAGGCTCTGCGGCCGCACGCACGAGCGCGACGGCGGCGCCATTGGATGCGTCCTGCCTGCTGGCCACGCTGGGCAGCACGCCTTCACTCTGCAGGGCAAGCGGGCTCGCTGCGTAAAGCGCCCGTTCGACCCGTCTGATGTCGAGGCGGAGGAGCGCAGCAAGGGCGCTTCGAGACAGGACGGCGAAGAGTCGGAGGTGGAGGTGGAGGCGGCGGCAGGAAAGGCGGCGCCAGCAGGCTCGGAGGCCATGTCTAGCCAGGAGGCTCCGGTGGCGGAGGCGGAGGGCTTGCGCTTGCATCTCTCCAGCAGCAGCACCGGCTACTTAGCCGTGTACGAGCAGTCTGGCCGCTTCCAGGCGCAGCACAGGGTGGACGGCAGGCACGTCTACATCGGCCTATTCGACACAGCAGTGGAGGCGGCGGTGGCGTATGCGAAGGCGGTCGGCGAGTACCATCCTCCGACAGTGGCTGCGGAGGCGGAGGGCTTGCGCTTGCACCTGTCGAGCCGCAGCAGCACCGGCTACAGGGGCGTGTACGAGCACTCTGGCCGCTTCGCGGCGAACCACAGTGTGGACGGAAAGAACGTCGCCATCGGCACCTTCGACACAGCGGTGGAGGCGGCGGTGGCGTACGCGCGGGCAGTGGGGGAGGCGGAGCTGCTGGCGGCGGCAGGCGGGCATGCCGTCAGGGAGAAGCGGGCGCGAGGAGCGACAGACGCGGGGCGAGGTGGTGGTGGCGGCGGCGGCGGCGGCAGCGGCGGCGGCAGCGGCGGCGTCGCGCTGTCATCCTCGAGCGACGCCGCGCCCTCTGCGCCCGACGCGAGCGTTCAACGCGAGGCGGCGGGGGCGGAGGGAGAGGACGATGCGGTGGAAGTGGAGGTGGAGCAGGAGGAGGCGGAGGCGGAGGAGGAGGAGGCGGAGGAGGAGGCGATGAGCGACTACGACGATGGGGTGGAGGAGGTGGCGCCGCCGCTTCAAAGCTCCGCCGCTGCCGCTCCGTTGCTGGAAGGCGGCGACGTGCAGATCTCTGCCGCATCAGGCGCTTCGGAACTAGTCAATGATCAACGTGAGATTATCCTCACTCACTCCGTTGCTTGCGCCGCACAGGCTTGCTGCCCGAGCACTTGCCGCACCAGCGGGCGCTCTGCCCACTCCACCCCTTCCATGCGGCCGAGAGGCCGGTCGCGGCGCCGGTCGATGGCAATGAGGCGGCTTGCCCCAACTGCTATTGCCTCATCTGCGATGCGCGCGTGTCCGAATGCGGTCACTGGCGGGGCGGCGACGCGCCAGCGCACTGCAATGCGCATAGCAGTAGCGCATTGTGGCGCCAGAAGCGCATCAATGCGAAGCGGCAGCGCACGCGCGCGGTGCGGGCAGCGCAGGCGTTGGTCGACCCGCAGCCAGCGATGCCTTTTCGATCCGGTCTGAGGAGCGGGCTTGGGTGAGGTGCGTCGCACGTCCAACTATGCTGACTGGATGGTGTCTCTGACTCTGTCCCGGTCGCCGCGCAACTATCGCAACTGTGTGGTTTGTGGCTTTTCATCATAGATCATTGATCGAACGGTTGTTCGGAAGATCGTCGTTGTGGCGCTGTGGGAACATCCCCAGGGCCTCCAGGGCTCGCACCTCAAGCTCTCATAGTGTGAGTGAGTGAGTGTGAGTACACACACACACACACACACACACACACGCTCTCTCATACCGGGGAGCAGGTGCGTGTATTTTCTTCTCAATAACAAGGCTGGGAACGGCGCGTTGAGAATCCAAGACCAGGCTAGCCAGCTCTAGGCCCGGAGACGCGGCGACGCGTGCCTTACCTCTTGCGTCGTCCGGGGTGTGTAGCGCTGCGATTTAGACTGTAGAGGTAATTTGGGGCATACGCTGGCGCGTTCGTGGAAATCTTCTCTGCTACGTAGTACATATTTTGATCCACTCACACAGCCCTCTCTCCTCCCTCTATCTCTCACACAGAGCACACACGTCAGAGAGCAGAGGACCGCGCGCTCAACGCTCGAAGTTTGAGTGCACAGATGGGGATAAAGCAATGCGACAGCTACGCTACAGCTACAGTACACGCAAGACAAAGTCCTGTGAGTTTCTTGTTTCCCGGACAAATAGTTAGAGGCTGCGCAGGCCGTCCCGTTTGCATAAAAAACGCCCGCGGCCCGGCCATGGGCCCGGCGCCAGCGCTGGCCGCTGGCCGCTGCGCGCGCCGAGGCTCTGTCTCACTCACGTGCCGCGTTATGTGTCACACACGGCGGCTTCTGCCACCTCTCGATCGGTTCCACTTTCTACGCACACCCACCGGGGAAGGGCCCCAGAAGGGGGGACGGTCCGGGCGAGTGTGCGGAGCTCCTGCGCTAGTATGGGCACCCTGCACCCTCTATCACAACACTACTGACCCTGGCCATTAGAGCTGCCAGGGATAGCGTCAGGAGCTGGTAGGAGTCAAAACCCCTCATATTTGAGACATCGTGGCCCATATACTCGCACAACGAGCCGCCCCACCCCGGTGCCACCGCGCAGCGACCAGCGTCGACGCGGCCGCGCACACCGCTCTTGCTCCGCTCGGGCCCACCGCCCCACCCAGCAGAAGATACGTAACGAGACTCAGCATACAGTACACAACAAAAGAGACACGTCCGGGCATGCACACCCCACCAGCAGAGCACCCCGTGGAGCCTGGACCGAGGGTGGTGCTGGTGCAGGTCGATGATGAGGGATGGGGTCGACCCACTGCGCGCGCGCAGGGGCGGCGGCTGCGCTCTCACCGTCGAGCCGGCGCCGACTCCGGGCACCACACCCTCGGCGAGGCCGGCCTGCGAGCGCTGCAGAGCGGCCAGCGCCTGCTGCTGCTGCAGCAGCTGCGCCTGCATCTGCGCCAGCACGTCCTGCGTCTGGGGCTGCTGCGGCGGCTGCGGCGGGGGCGGCGGCTGCGCTGCCGCTGGCGCAGGTGTGTGATGGGCATCACCGCCCGTCGCAGCGCGGGGGGCAGCGGGGCGCGGCGCGTGCGCGCTCTCGCGCCCTCCCTTGCCCTTGC